GGTCCCCCTCAGCAGGTGGGCTGTGGCTGGGGGGCGTCTCCCGGGACAGGGGGGGCGGCCCCCACCAGATGGGTCTGCATGTGGCCGGCCAGCTGGGCAGGGGTCTTGCAGTGCACGCTGCACAGCTTGCACAGGATGCGGTCAGCCCGCGGGGCCTGGAGCCCGTGGTCCTTCACCGCGTGGATGCGCAGGTATGCTGCCGTGGTGAAGCCTATTGGGGGGTGGATTGGGATGGGGCGGGGGTCAGCCAGGCGGAGACCCCAGAGACGGGGCTGATCTCCTAGGCGGGGGATGCCCTCCTCAGATGGCCCTGTCCTCCTCCCACGGCATCCTTGGTAGCCTGGGGTTAACTGCTCTGCTGGGGCTGGTGGGCACAGCAGCCCCTCCCTGAGCCTGGGGCGTGGCTTGCGTGGTGCCCGCTTCTCAGCCTTGGTACCTACAGAGCTCACTCTCCATGGCCGGGAGACCTCTCCCAGGATGACAGGACACTGACTCCTAGCCAACGGCAGGGCTGACCCTCAGCAGAGACGGCTGTGTCCCCCTCCCTCCAGTACCCCGTGGTCTCAACCCAGTTAACCGGTGAGTCTGACTGAAGACAGCTTTCTCTGCTACCCGTGCAGGGTGCGTGCTGGTAAATCCCAGCCCGTGTACTACTCCACCTGCCCCAGGAGCTGGAGACAAGACCTTGTGGCTGCGCGGCGGAAACCTTGCCTTGTGACCCTTGGAACTGGCTTTCTTGACTACTCCCTTCCCCAGAGCAGCCAAGTTCCACTCCCGCTCTCCCCACGTATGCCCAGGAGGTTCAACCTCTCTGGCAGATCTCTCCTCCAGCCAGGACTTCTTAAGAGTCTAACAACATTCATTCAGGTGTCCCCCGCTGCTCCCTTGACCTCTTGGAGGACTCTAGACGCCACGAGCTCTTGGCTACAGCACCCTTAGCCCGTATCTGTGGCAGGGCGTCTGGCCAGGCCCCCACCCTCTCTGCCCCTGGCCCTCCCGGCAGTCCTCGGCATGTACCTTTGTTGCAGAGCTCACAGACATGGTGAGGGCCCTGGCTGTGCACCTTCATGTGGTCCGAAATATAAGCCGAGCTCAGCATCTTGCCACACACGTGACATGGCACCTTCTCCTCGTGTCGAACTGTGTGCGCCCGCAGCCGATCCTTCGTGGCGAAAGCTGCCTCACATTTCTGGGGAGGGGGGAGGGGCGTGGGGGGTGTCACAGGAGAGTTAAAGCTTGGCGGGCTGGGGAGGGGGGAGCAAGAGGTTAAAGGTATCAGAGCCTTGGGGATCTTTGATCTGTAGGAAATGGGAGTGACATGATGAGGCCTTGAAAAAGGGATGAGAAAATGGAGTGAAAAGGCAAAAAGAAGAGAGAGAAAAAGGGGGTCTGAGAGGCTGAACTCAGACAGCTACCATGAGGATCAAAATCATGAAAACCAGGACGGGAGGAGGCGGGCTTCCTACCTCACATTTGAAGGGCCGTTCTGTTGAGTGCACTTGTCTGACGTGACTGTTGAGGTGATCCGGCCTGGGGACACGTTGGGGTTGGGGTTAGGGCGCAGGTGGTGCGCCCCAAATCCGCCAACCTGCCCCACTAGGCCTTTCCGGGGATCCCTGCGCCTCCTCCCGGAGCCCGGGCCGTCACAGCGCCACTTCGGCAGGAAATCCCTCCCCTGGAACCCAGCCGCTGCCGCCGCCGCCTCCTCCCACGCAAAGCTTCCGTCAACCCCAAGGCCCACCTCCTTGACAAAGAACCACCCCTTGCTCCCTGGTAACCGAGAGAGGCTTCCTCCCTCCGCCCTGGGAGGGGCTCCCCTTCCCCAACCTCAGCAGCCGCCTCCCTCCCCGCCAGCAACGGCCAGGCCACCTCCGTCGCGTCCCTCCCTCCCCACGGCCTAGCGGGCGGCCGAGGCCCCGTGCACACCGGGAGAAGCTCTTGCCACAGTGGGAGCAGTTGTAGGGCTTGTGCACAGCGCCGTCATGTGAGCGCACGTGGTAGCTCATGCGGTCCTTGCGCTTGAAGCGCTGCTGGCACACCGGGCACTGGTAGGGCTTCTCGTCCGAGTGCGACAGCTTGTGTCGGTTCAGGTGGTAGACGTCGCGGAAGGCCTTGCCGCACATCTCGCAGGCGTGGTTCTTCCGGATGCGCTTCCCCGAGGCGGTCGTGGTCACCACGCCACCGGCGGCCACTGCG